AGTTGAATTTTGAACCTGAGTCAAAAAGCGGAGAGAGAGAGAGAGAGAGAGAGAGAGAGAGAGAGAGAGAGAGAGAGAGAGAGGGAGATTTATTTTATAAATTAATTCTATAAAACATATTTTGGATTATATGAATAATTTTCTGTGCGGGTCGGTGGGGATTCGATTGAATAATGCATTAACATTTTGCTTAAGAATTCCAATTATTTTTTAAATACAAATCCTTCTACGTAACACGTAGAGGGTTTGGGAGAAATTGGTTCATATCTTTCCCAAGGATATTTTCTTGTAAGGGAATTTAAAGAACCAGACTGGAATCCGAACTCAGTTTTCTCCCTCCCACCCGCTATCCCTTAGACTACGGGCACACCCACTAGATAGATAGATAGATAGATAGATAGATAGATAATGAACAACCTGAGATAGATAGATAATGAACAACCTGAGATAGATAGACAGAAAATACAAAGAAATGTTTGATCTCTAAATTACATCAGTCGAAGAGCAGGACGTCTTTGTCAAATCTAAAAATAGATTAATTCACGGCACGTAACAGAATCTCACCCAAGACAAACTTTTCGAGTTTATTTAGACAATAATGAGAAATGACAAAATAATGGTCTTTAGTTTGCTCCATGGAACTCCATCAAAACTTAAATAATAGCCATTTACTAAAAAACATTTTTTACTTTAGCATTAAATTTTTCTTTCCCCAACGCACAATTTAAAAAACGATACTTTTTATATGGATTCTCGATCAAACTAATTTTTACTGCAATTATTTTACAAATTTCAAACACTTCAAAGCAGTTTTCTACATACTATAAGTTTGATTAATGTGTAAACTTGTTGTTATCTATGCGAAACTAACATTTTTATATTTTGTCTCTACCACTCTTACTCCCAAACACTTATAAACTGATTTATCTATCTGTCTTGCTTGTAAACCACGTTTCCTGGTTCCTCAGAAAGAAGGCCATCATTGTTTTTCAGAAACAGAAGACTTCATTTTGAGAAGAATATACATGCGGGTAATATAATGAAGTGAATCAAATCGGTACATACCACTTCAAACCAAGCACGCCACCATATCCCTGATCTGATAGAAATTGTGGCTGCGTTTGCTTCCTTTTTTATGGAAGAGCGCATATTGCTGGTGAACCGGAAGTCATCCTGGATTGGGCAATAAATTGCCAAAAAGTTTCGCATGGTGGAAAATGGAAAAAAATTGTAGCTAACGGAAGGAACACAGGTCGATACGCGATTAGTATCGGCTGGGTCACCATGGAAAAGGGGATGATTTTGAAAGACCCGAAACCCCTAATGAACCTCGGCTAGAAACATCACTGATGATGTATACCAAAGCATCCAACGAAAAGTACATTATATATAGTTTATTACCCGCCACAAATAAGAAAATAAGCACCAACGACAGCACTTTTAACATCAACGACACAAAATTCATAATCCTACTCTTTATCACTCTATCTAAATTTTCCCGTAATACTAGGGTCTTTACCACTAGCTTCAAGAAAATTGGGTGTATAATTATGAAGAAAAATAAATCCAGCACCACTTTAGGTGCAGGGATTTATCAAATAAAGCCGTTGCAATGTAAAAAAACACTTTGGCGAAATATCAGGGAATCTAAAAAGTCGTACCTACTAGTATAAAAGAGATTTACGCCATGAAAACCTTTTAAAATACTTCGCACGAATCCCGATAAATATTTTACCAACTGTAACCATCCGTCAAAACCATTATATTACACCAACAACCTTTATTAATTCCATTAATAATTAATTAATAATTTAACGTGTGCTTATATAGAACAAACGACGCTTACGCAAAAACGTCCCAGAATCAACATACTGACAACCACCAATCATAAACAATGTCTGGTTGATTAAACAGTTAAATAATGTCTATCACGCACACACACATATATATATACTTACGAATATACACATACGAATATACATTATCATTCAAATATCACATACAAAACCAAGAATCATGATACACTTACATACATAAAGCAATATTTACGCTTTTTTAAAAGTCAGACTTAGTTTTTTGCAGCTTCGAATGGATGTGGCGCCTGTCCTTCAGTTCGGAATGTCATAAATTATACTAACACTGCTTAACATGTCAAACACGCGTGAAGCCTGATTAACCAATGAAAATCAAACAGCCCAAAAATAAAAAATAGCAGAATTTCTATTCCATATCTCATTCTCTGAATGAAGCTTTAATAAGTGAAACATGTTTGACTGATAAAAATTTCCTATTTGTTCATTACCTTCTCATAGTTTATACTAAAGTTTATCCAATACACGGCACGAGCGTCACTCAACATAGACGGCAAAATTGTAATGGTGAATATGTGGAAGAGTAAAGGGCAGGATATGGAAATTAAGAGAATGATGACGATTGATAAGAACTGACCCTTGAGGTAAAGTTAAGATTGCAGTATTCAAGGAATTAACCATGCGATAGAATATTCCACAAAGTAACAGGTCTTGGAAAAGGCTGCCTGATTAGAACTTTATCCTTACATTTTTCATACGGAGTAAATGAAGAGGATACAACTCTAGCAATTGTATGGCTTTTCCTACTTATAAATGTCTGAATTGATAGAACGAATGAATGGAGCTCATTTTAACATTTGCCATGAAAATATCGGCAGGTTTCGTCTGTAGGAACGAGGCTGCAAAGTAAAGAATATGTATTCATTCACATAATTTTAAAAATTATTCTGAACTCTACGAACATTAGGAAGGAGTTGTTAATATTCTAGATGTCAGTGAGACAGATAAAGCCTTTCATTTTACACAACAGTAAGATGATACATTATTCAGTCATCGTCCAGTACAAATTCCATTAAATAAAACTATTTTCAAGCAAGACAATAAAGCCACTAAGTCTGAAGGTATTACTGAGTGTGAAAAAATATGAGAAAAAATATTATTAAGGAGAGAGAACAATAAAAGAACTGTAATTTAGAAGACAGGTTAAGATAAACGTTTCATTTAAATTTTTGATGATTTTAAAATTATTTTACCCCAAGCAAGGCAATAAAGTCACTAAAACTGAAGGTATTACTGAGTGTGAGAGAATATAAGTGAAACATTATTAAGGAGAGAGAACAATGAAAGGACTATAATTAAGAAGAAAGGTTAAGGTAAACGTTTCATTTTAATTTTTGAAGATCAAAGTCAACTCAAAAATAATAAGCCGGAAGATAGTTCCACAAGAGAGAAGTGTGTGAGAAGAAACTGTTAGCATAGAACTTACGGTTACATCTAGCAATTTCAATAGTAAAATAATGAAACCTTGCCGCCAATCTAGTACAGCGTTTAAATTCATGAAGTCTATGTATCATAGAGAAAAGTAATATTTATTTTGGCATAATACAAAAATGTGGCACAAGGCCAAGAGGGAGATAGGGAAAGGCTGGTCTTCAATCAGTTTTATCTTAAAATTAGCTAGCCACGATTACTGAACCATTCAGTATTTGTTACACCAAACAATACATTCTTACTTAACATTTTAGTACAGTCACCATAATACCTCAGTGTCTCTATGAAGTCCTAACTAGTGAACATATGTACAGTTTGTCTGTGCGGGGGATAAAAATTACAACATTTTAAATTTAAATCCTAATGAATATTTACAATGAATAACTTAGAGGAAAGTTCATCAGAAAAATTACTATGAAAGTATGTATAGAAAAGGCATATTAAAACAACATTACAGCAGTGGGAAAGTGAGTGAAGCTGAGATGCTAGGTCCGGACCAATAACATTACAGATTTTTCTTTATATTTTATCAAAAATCTCTAAATACATGGCAGAGGCACCAAACCAGATATGATAGCAATATTCAAAGCATTATTCTTTTTCGTTGTAGAAAAGAGCTATTTTACTCATGGAATGTAGAACTAAAGAATACGTCAAACGTCACCTTTTATTAGCAACGTCAAGAAGACAGCGATGAAGTAAACATACCGTATCTAGAAGACATTTCCTTTATTCACGAAAGTAAAATGTAAATAATTCTATCTAAAAAAGAAGGATATTAAATGATTATCAACATGGATATAAAAGCAATTTTATCAATTTCCAAATTTTATTGATTTTTTTTCTTTTTGTTTACAAGACGCAAGAGCCACTCGAGGTAGAGAGTTACAAACTAAGGGGTACAGTTTATGAGGATATGTTGGAAAAATAAGAAGTAACCCTAGGCTTGAACAGGTTAAGATTATAGTGATCGGGGAAAATTCCCCTTTAAACTCGGTTCCACAAAGCAGCAGTTCGTTGGAGGAAGCTGCTTGAGTGGAACTTACATGTCGCCGATGGAGTACGAAGGGATTTGGGGTGGTACGCTATAATTTGCCTGGTATACCGGGGTTTTAGCTGTTGTTAGAACTGGTGGAATCAAGGAATGTAGTTCGACTGAATATTTTTAATGGAAATACAGCGAGTGGTTTGCGATGTTTTCATCTATGAAAAGAGTATAACAGGTTGGAAAATAATTCGTCAACTACAAGGATGGGGGAGACACTTTTAGACTCTATCGAAACTGGGAAGTAAAGACTGTGTAGCTCCAGTCCATATATCTTACTCATTTTTTTAAGAGTATACTACACGTTGTCAGGAAGAAACGATTTTCGAGAAATTTTTGTTTTGCAATCAGAAAACGTCCGAAGAAGTGAAGCACTTAGGAATCCGGCAAGAAATATTGTGATTAACGTCGTATGACAAAAGTAAGAGGAGGAGAGAGTGATAATTACTCCATATATCTTTCATTCAATTTCTTTCATTTCTCTCTCGTCTTTTCATCCCGCTTTTTCTTTCTATCTATCTTTCCCGCTCATCAATTACTCTCCTTTTCTCTGACCCTCTCTTTTCTCTCTTTTTCTTTCTTTTCCTTTACTCATCAGTCTTCTCCATTCTTCTTTTCTCTTTGCTCTCTCACTTTTTTCTTTTTTATTCTGCTTACGGCCATATCATGTTGAAATACCGGTTCCCATACGATTGCCGAAGTTAAGCAACCTTGACAGCAGCTAGATGGGTGATCGCTTGGGAATACCATGTGCTGTAAGCTTTGATGTGTAGGTGGTGCAATGGATAATCGCTCAGAATGCTTAATCAGAGAGCCGAGTTCTAATTCCGTTTAGTTTATTATATGCACTAAAACGTAAACTCTTCTACCCCAGCTATGATGATTTTCTAACAGTAGCTTAGATGAGGTACAAGGCCAAAATACTGGGGGATGATCAAAGTCACTATTCAGTTATAACTGATATTATTTTCTAAGCTTTACTTAGATTTGGCACAAGGCCTAAAGTGTCGAGCACCCAGTAAGGATCGAACTTACTATTCAGACATAATTGATCTAGCGAGATAAGATTTCTATCCATTACATGAACTCTAAGTGCTTCTTGTCCCTCAACTATGGGTTAATTACTAAGACTTTTATATCACTAAAACTATTATCTCCAAATTAAAAAAAAAATGCGTAGAAAATAATTAGATTCCGGCATTAGATAACCCATAGAGGTGTTGATATGCCGCTAAACAAAATCACCTAAATCAAACTTTTTTTTTGCTTTTTCTCTCCTCTTATTTATTGTTCTCTCTCTCTCTCTTTCTCTCTCTTTCTCTCTCTCTCTCTCTCACACACACACATACATACACATACGCACACACGCACGCACACACCTCTCTCTCTCTCTCTCTCACACACTTTAAGTTAGTCTCTTTCTCTATCCTTATCTTTTCGCTATTTTTGTTGTCTTCGTTCTTAATACCGCTCACCCCCCACCCCACCTGCCGGGCTTTCATTCTTTGTTTCTTGAAGTTATCTCCGTCTTAAACTTTTTAACAACATATTCAGAGTACAATGTGTTGATGATGAACATATCAGGAAAAATCATTTAAAATAACACTAAGAGAACGTAACAAATATAATGCTAAGTTTAAAACCGTTTTTTCTTAACTGGAAATTTTTGCATGTAACCAATATTATTTAAGAATAAAAAAAATATTTTTCCCTTTGGCAAACAAGCGAATGATCAACTTTAAGTTTCAGTACGAAACCTCTTTGCATTCACCTTTCACATTCGTTAATGATTTCACCTATTTGTAATATATTTTTCGGATTTCAACACCGGCAGCCATAGAAATGCAATTAAATAGCCAATATACGGCATCAAATGATTCATATTAGTAATGGCTTCCATAATTTTGCCAAACTTATCACTCTGAAATTCACACGTCTTATCAATTATTGAATCAATTAAACGATTTTTGTAATCATCTACATCAGCTTGCAAAAATTGCTGTTCTCTTTATTAATGTAATCTGAGACGAAAGGCGGCAAAGATTGGTCTGACCGATTTGATCGATATGGAATCACATCGAAAGATCTTCTATTTATATAAATGCCGAGAAAGAGAGAGATGGGCACTGTTTTGCCACATAAAAGATGCAGTTTTTCTTTTCTGATATTAAACAATATAATTTAAACAATAAACTTGCAACTTTCGTTTACATTAATTTGCTCATAATGTTTTAGTATAACAGCCTTCAAGTCATTTTTACAGTCTGTAGTTGTTTTTCTATATTAAATCGGAAGAAAAATTCGCAGCGTTTTATAAGTGAATTTCAAAGATATTATCTAGACCGTCCTGGGTAAGACGATAAACTACATCCGCGTCCAGGGTAAGACGATAAACTACGTCCAACAGCAAGGTCTCTGATCAGGAGGTTTTGAGGAGCTTGGAACCGCCTCTTGATTGCTGGTGTTCCCAGGTCTACCCTGACCCCGGAGTGGTAGCACCTGTTGGGGGTCCTGGCTATGGGCAAATATTTAACACCGAAATTGACGAAAAAGCATGATAAAAATGTAAGAATGGGTTTTAATACCAGAGATACTCTGCCAAAAATTGTTACCAGAAATAACTTTTTGAAGAAAAAAACTATTACCAGCAATATATATATATATTTTAAATATATGATCAGCAATACATGTTCTAAAATAATATTACCAGCTACACATTTTTGAGGAAAAAATTATTACCAGAAATAGATTTTTGACAAAACAAAATATTAGCAGGGAAAAAAAAAGTTGTCGGCAAAACCCATTGATGTTGATATGCCGTAAAACACAACAAACCAAACCAAACCAAACCTATTATCTAGATATTTGTACATTAACTTATTCAGCCACATATGTGCGATTTCTTTTCATTATATTCCCCCATTTTCGGCAGCTTCATAATTCTTCCCTCCTAGAAGTTCGCGATTTCAGGGTGCTGAACTGGTTTAATTGCTTTATACAGAATTCCAGGTAATTGAATTTCTTCCCGAGTAAACGAATTTTGTAGGGTTCGAAATAAATGGCAGACAAGACAAAAAGGATAAGTGGATACGGCCGGTAGAGTAGGGTATCAAAATCAGACTCAACCAATTTCTACCAGTCATGCAATGAGATCTGAAGTCTGGCGTTATCCTGGGGGAAGATGACACCCTTCCAACTGGCCAATTACTAAGGCTTTTCAACCATTGTGAGAGTCTTTCAAATCTAGTGCAATGTAGATTTTCTGAAATAAATGAAACAATCAACCATGTAAACTAAGGGATAAAAAACTGGACATCTATGATCCTGTACGTATGTAGTCGAGGGGTATTATGGACAGACAACGGGAGATGTTGATTTTTAAGCTTAAAATGTGTGCAGTCATGGCGGTTTGGGTGTCACCCCCAAAGCTCTTGCGAACACCTTCACTCTTCCTATACATAACTTTCAAAGGCACACATTCCGAAAAATAAATCCAGTTTCAAAACTTACAATTTATGAAGATATTTCCATATGCAAATTATTATCGCCCCTCCCGGTGGAGGCGAGGGTCAGGGGTGCGAGGGTGAGGGTGAGGGCGTTGGGAACAAAGTGACAGGAAAGTTCAATTAGATTTATATTAAGCTATTTTGATTAATTACTTTTAATTATGACGGAATCCAATCTTTATGAAATTCATCAAATTCGTCCAAAGAGATTACATCGTCGGTTGAAAAAAGTTAAAATAAGTATCTGTCCTGGAAAGATTAAACAGTTTAATGCACCCAATATTGGTCTAAAACATTCACGTACACCTTTCCAAAGTTGTGCACGGAGACTAATTCTAAGAAGAAGCCAGATGCTAAGCCGTCATCAGGTTCACCAGATTTAACTCTACATTATTCTGCATTGAAAATCAGTTTTCATGTACTTTTTCATTCAATTTACACATCCTACATTGAGAGTTTTACTTAAAGGTGTTTGCTCTTATGCTCTTAATAATTTGTATGTTTCTCTTTTACAAAATTCCAAATGCAGTGATCCTATCGTTTTACTCTTTTCAGATAATAAATTTCTTATGTCTCTTAACACTCTTTAAAACCTGAATAAGAAGAAATGTATATATATATATATATATATATATATATATATATATATATATATATATATATATATATATAGTTGGATTGATGTGAGTTTGTGACACTGGATTTCACGCTATTTTTATTTACATATATATATATATATATAGTTGGACTGATGTGAGTTTGTGACAAACGTCAGACAAACTCCTATGTCTGACGATCGCAAATAACGTGAAACCCAGGGTCAGAAAACTCACATCAATCCAACTAAATACGTTAGCCTTATCACTGATATTGAGCGCTTTCCAATAAGTACCGCGAATATATATCATCGCGTGTTTTAGAGGTACCCCCATATATAGACGATAACCAGCATAGATGTTTACAAATAATCTGAGTACATTCTTAAACAGTTCATTTATGTAGATTAAAAAACTTACTGTGAAGGTTTGCTTCGGGGGGGGGGGCATGGAATGTAGTTCTTCAGAGCACTTTCCATGGAAGTAGCGGTAGAGCAGTGAGAGGCTTGCCCCATCACGGGTGTGGGAGAGAGAGGTTGAAGGGTGGAGAATAATTCGTCACCTACAAGTGCTCGGAGACGCTTTTGATCTCTATCAATACCTTGGCAGCTCCCGCCCAAATATGACGACAGTATTCCATTCTTGGTCTGATCTGGCTCTTGTAAAGTTAGAGGATAATAGGAGGAGTCAGGTACTTACTGGAGCGGTACAGGCAGCCTATCATTTTCCTTGCATCGTTAGCAAAGGAACCTATGTACGAGTTCCACTTGAGGCCGGGTGCGAGTTTGAGGTTCAACTGTCTTTCAAGGTACCGTGCTTACTCGAGAGGACCTCCCTTCATCCAGATTGGTGGTAGTTCGTGATCAAATCAGCGATGATGGAATATAACTCGGGTGTTCTTCGAGGTATTGAATATAACCAATCAGATTTTATCCTAATTGGTATTTTATGCAAGATTGGAAGAGAGTTCATTCGTCAATCTCTGACCATCGAAAGCTTTAGAGGTGCGTCTGTATATAGTCGTATCATGATCCGAATATATTCTTATGCAAATAATTTATGAAGATCAAAAAGAGAATTGGCTAAATTAGTGGCCTGCGTTGACGGCTAGGAATCTGGAGAAATGACCATTAATAGCTACTATCAGTAACCCACTGTTAGGAAGGATTTTCTGATTGAGAAGATTCATAAGGTGGTTCTATAATTGGAGAGCTTGTCTTGTAAACCTTTGCGTAACACCTTGTCGAAGGCATTTGAGATACCTAGTGTTATGCTCCTCGAGGTGTGTTTGTCGTCGAGAACCTCGCGTTCTGTGACTGATCGTAATTAGTACGTCGGCAGTGTATCGGGCAGACCGAAATCCATATTGCTCGTCGCAACTGTTGTTCTTTTCTAAGTGCTCGACGACCTTATTGATTAGAGCCTCAAAAAGCTGGATGATGATACTGAGGAGACTGATGGGTCTGTACTGGGAGGGGAAATATAGCACACCCGCGTCCTCGAAAACCGGGCATACACCTGACACTTTCCACAGGCTTGGGAAGGATTTCTTCTTCAAGCAGCGGTTGTATACTTTTGCTATTATTGGGGATATTTCCAGGTTGATATTCTTAATGAAAACAACTTGAATTTTGTCTAGGACGGTGGCTTTCTTGGAG